ACATTCAAGAGGTCGTTGTGCCTTCGTTTCGCAATTGGCCGGCATCTGTTGCGAGTGTGAAATGACTTATTCCCACTGAAATCTTCCAGGCCGACCTATTCAGTGCCACGGAACCACTTTGTTTCACGACATCTTTTAGACTTCTTTTCCTATCAGCATAAACAGATTTCGCGTCCTGATGACGGAAAGGACAAAGTTTGCTCAACATTTTCAGCACAATGGGCTGTGGATGAAGGAAGAAACTGAAGGACAGAGTGTGATTAAGCCCCACACAATTTGTTCAAAAGGCCGACTTCTTGAGTGGGTAAAAATGGGCGAATGAGGCAGGCACGGATGCGAGGACATGGGATAGGTAACTGTACCAGAACATAAGGGCAAACGACTCAAATAGGGGCCGCAGTAAGCTGGTTTTCATACCTTCGACTGGAAAGGTAGTTGTCTACATCAATTCGCAGATTCACAAAAGACCGAGTCGCCCCAGGTAGCTCAAGGGGTTTCAAAGACCGAACACAATCCGATCAGGATTCCATTGCATTTCACAAAACCTTGCCTCCCAAAATGATATCTGTTTCGGGGTGGTGCACTAACGACTTATGATTCATTCCCATCAGATGGAGCGGTACCACACATTTTTTCCTAACCCCATAGACTCTTTCTCCGATCCAAACGAACAGCCTGCTCGTCCTGCCGACTGAGACGACCAATTTAGCTCAACATTTCTCACTCCATCGGGGTGTGAATGGAAGAGGCAATGAAAGAGGTGTGTGATAAGTTATAGCCGAATTCACACAAAGGGCCCATTTTTAAGTAGGTCAAAATAGGCAAACTAAAAGTAGCAGGATGTGACAATATGGGATAACATTGGAGCCCTCACAAAGCCATGTCATCCACCACGAGGGAGCACAATGACGCATAGCCTCGAAAGGTATTTATACCGAAAATTGGAGGGTGATGATTCATTGCTCGACTCTCCTCCAAGTCGACCTATCACGTGACGCGAATTCACATCTTTTCCTCCAATCCCCCCAGACTGCTTCTTTTAGTGGAATGGGCTCGCTTCACCCTCTGACGCCTAATCAGCACACCTCACAACAGGACTCTCTCGTCAGTTCTATGCCTCGTGAGCAGACAGCCAATTGGCGGAGTGTTTAGTCCGACTGTCGATTGACGAATGTTTCACAGTCTGTCCCTGGGTCCAGCATCGGATCCACGAGATCTCGTCTCTTTGACTCGAAATTGGGTCGATCCTTCGCCACCTCTAATAGGCCGAATCCTCTTTTCTATCGATGACCCAGAACTAGGTTACTCTTGAGGCACCAATCAGAGCCCAGATTTAGCATCTCACCAACCGTTTAACGAAATTGTGACATTGTGTAACATGAGATGTATTCACCCTATTTCGGCTAGGGTGATGAAGGACTGGTGGAAGAAGAATTCTCCCACAATGAAATGAGTTGAGCTGACGTTTACATCCTTTCTTTCGCAAATGGTGTTCTCATCCCAGCTGGAGTGGGCTGGAGTGGACTGCAGTCTCGACCTCGCATCGGTCCTATCAACACCCTCGGCGGGAGTCGAACCGCAGGACATTGTTGTTCTCATTTGGAAGGGAAAGTTGATTGAAAGCAATTTGTGAAATTGTTGCAGCCGAAACCGAAGAAGACTTGCCGCGGACTGAAGAGTGTCCTTGCCCTAGCGTCCTGCGAATCCGATGAACCGAGGACATCTTCACTTCACGCCACACCACGGTTTCCAGTACGACCATTGCGCCAGTCTCTTTCAACCAACTTTTCCTTCTAAATGGAGAATCATGTCATAATAGATGACCAAGTCTTTTTTTCGTATATTTATCGAAATGACTTTCGGGTTTCATTCCACTTCAAACCGTGGACATCCCAGCGCCGCAGTCTCCAACACGCAATTCAGCAGTGCTCTTCAGCACAATGAATAGTCGTCTGTGGGATAAAGGACAGTTGAGTGCCTGAAAACCGGAAGGTGCAGACATTAGATCTTCGCATCCAAACATAATCATCACATCCTACTGGAGACTCAGCGTTGCGGCAACATTCTGTCAACTTCGACAAACGTTAACTATCCGGCACACCTCCGTCTCTTAAATAGCTTTTCTATTGTTGCGCTCACTTCCATTCCGAGCAAAGGTGTTTTATGAAGCGCTTTGAAGCTATATCCCACCAGAAGAAGATAGCGGATTCATTATGCCGATTTGCTTTACTGCAAAATTCTGGTTGACGTCGCTTCGATGGTCATTGTTCGAAGGAGGGACGATTCTTGAATCTTACAATACACTTTTACTCGAAATGGAAGTAATCTCAACAATCATGAACCAAAAGATGCATCGAACCCGAACTTTTCCAGGTCTAATTGTTTCTTGGTTGGGTGTTTTTAGTACTGGAGATAATTGGATTTTGTTAAGTAGGAGGCTTACTTCCATTAAGAGCGAAGGAGTTTTATGAAGGTCCTTGAAGATCCATCCCACCAGAAAAAGATGGCTGATCCATTATGCCGATTGGCTTTACTGAAACATTCTTTTTGATGTCGATTCGACGGCCATAGCCCATAGAAGGTTCGATTCTTGGATCGCTTGACAAGACACTTTCACTCGAAATGGAAGTAAGCTCAACAATCATGAACCAAAATATGCATCGAACCCCAACTTTCCCAGGTCTGATTGTTTCTTGAGTTTGTGTAGTTGGTAATAGAGCTAAGTGGATTTCGTTAAATAGGAGGCTCACTTCCATTCCGAGCAAAGGTGTTTTATGAAAGTCTTCGAAGATTCATCCCACCAGAAGAAGACGGCGGATTCATTATTCCGATTGGCTTTACTGTAAAATTCTAGTTGACGTCGCTTCGACGACCATGTCCCGAAGAAGGTTCGATTCTCGAATCGCTTCACAAGACACTTTTACTCGAAATGGAAGTAAGCTCAACAATCATGAACCCAAAGATGCATCAAATCCCAACTTTCCAAGGTTTGATTGTTTCTTGGTTGTGTGTTTTTGGTACTTGAGCTAAGTGGATTTTGTCAAATAGGAGGCTACTCTGTTGGTAAAAGTTGTCAGGAAA